CCTATCGGAGGTGGGCCTTCCCCTGATGTCAGGGGCCTGCTATTGATGAGGCCGCAGATCCGCTTGCCCGAGGCACCAACAACTCGTCGTCATCGTCATGATCCCGTGCCGCCTGCGCCTGAAGAGAGCTGTGATCTACAGCAGTAGGAAATCCACCTCTGGTCCCATGCCGTCGAGTTCGGTCATTGTTGTCCAGGGGTCTGTCGGCTGGGTACAGGAAGGATCTGCCGTATTTCAAGGCCGGCCTCTTAGACTGCAGGGAACGATCCGTATCTTCCACCCCAGATGAGGAAGCACCGGTCATAGCTCCACGGACCTCCTCCAAGCCATCCGCCTCGAGGTTCAACTCACGCCCCTTGCTACTTACCTCATCATCTTGATCTTGAACCACCTGGACATCTTCCGCATGAGGCTCCCCTCCAGCAGCTTGAGTCTCCGTAGTCGCCTGCTCCACTTCGTATTCAGCTTGTACCTTCTCACAGTGCTCCTCGTATGCTGTAAGTGCCAGGCGATACGCCCTCGCATCTTCTTCTTGCTCAAAGCGGTAGTGTTCCTCTGCTTCCAACGCCATCACTTCCTTTTGCATCACCTCGAACTCATGAGACTCTTCTGCATCAAACGCCGCCGCTGCAGCCATCAATTGCTCTGCGTCTACATCCGAGGCGAAGTCCATTGTAGTCCGTGGCCGAGGAGCATCTCGGGTGTTTCCAGCAGCACTGTCACCTTGAGAACAGACCTGGGACAACGGTAAGCCGCTCGACGATCCTGAACACAAGCCGACCTCATCTGGAACCAGCCCAAGAAGACTGCCAACATCTTCTCCAAGACGGCCAGGAGGATCACTACGAGGAGGCGGTGTGCTTTCGAGGGATTTTTTCCGCACAGGCTGCATAGCCTCAGTGTTCGCTTCCTTGAAGGCCTCCATCTGATGCTGCTCTCGTAACCATCTCTCGAACAACATCTGCTCGCGCTCGTCCTCAATGACATCTAGACGGGCCGCCGTCTCTTCAGCGTACAACATGTCATCAACCAAACGAGTCCCTGTAGACGGTGGGGTCGTGGCAACTGGAGAGTGGCCAACTTGTGCTCGGAGATGGTCTTCATATGCATCAGCGTCCACCTGCTCCTGCTGTTCCTGCCTTTTCAATTCGTCGCTAAACACACGCTCCTCTCTGCTCAAACTGCTGCCAACAGGTACACTAGTAACACCATGATATGGACTGCGCATGGCATCAGGAGCGCGCCGTACCCGCTTCTGTGGCCCGAATGCTGTATGAGTCTCCTGGGAGTGTCGAATAGCCATAATCTGCTCCTCATAGTGCCTGTGGCGTTCTTCTGCTTCGCGAACGGCTGCCACAGCTCGTCCTCGGTCCCGTTCAGCTAGTTCTTTGTGCTCCGCAAGACGTGCCCATGCCACCCGATACTCCTCCTCATTCTTGCTCTTCATCTCGAGTACTTGTGAGAACATCACCTTCTGAGCGTCTTCGAGTTGCTTCCAATCTTGTTGCCGAACGTTATTCTGCTGCTCAACAGTATCTGCCAATCGCTTAGCATGAGTCTCCTCTCTGCCTATCAAGTCAGCCTGTGCCTTCGCAAGGAGGTCTCTCTGCTCGGTGATCAATTCTTCCTGACGCCTGCGCTCCTGAGCTTCACGACGGGCCTCCACCTCGCCACGCTCGGCCTGCTGCCTCCAGTATCCAATATGTTCTTCAAACATCCTGCGCTGCTGCTGCCATTCCAAGTTGGTGTGATGCATCTGCGCAGCAAACCTCTGAGACTGTACATACTGCTCTTGCACCACAGCTTGACGAAGTTGCTCGACGCCTTCATGATGCTGGTGCGGCTGGTGCTGCGCTGTCTCCAGGAATGGTGCCCCACCACCGACTTCCGTCACCGTAGCCTCCATAATCCCCGTCGGTCGGTACCCTCTGCCTCCCAAGCGCCCCATGGGCTGGGGAGGTGGACTATGCCTACCTCCCAAGCGCCCCGTGGGCTGGGGAGGTGAGCAGTGCGTGCCGACGGGTGTTGACGAGCTTGCAATACTTCCTGGTGGTGCCGCTGGAGGTTGTGCTGAAGTCAAAGATGCCAGCCTGGGAGGTGCGGTCTCTGGTGGAGGCCTCTTGGGAGGATATCCTGCAAACTGTGTATGTGCCATAGTGGACGACAGCTCCTTCTGGATCTCCTCCGCCGACAGTTGGCCACCGTACTGGTCACTCATCGTCCGACGCTCCACTCCAGTGCTGGCTGGCGGTGTTGGTGTCACTCTTGTTGGGGAACAAGCTGGAGAACTCCCTATCGTCTTCGGTGGCGATCTTGCTGGACTAAGAGATCCTCTACGAGCACCGTCCTGAGCTGGGTTCTGAACTCCCAGCTGCTGCATCGTACCTCGTCCCCTCGTAATATGCCCCTGCGGTGTACTCAACGAAGCCTGGCAGCGAAGATGTTTGCCGTCCACGATGGGAGTGGGAAACCTTGCTGGAGCCGCTGCCTTGGCTGGCGGTGGGGGTGGAGGTGGTGGAGGTGGAGGGACTTCATCATCGTCTTCAGCTTCACGACCAGCGCTCTTGGCCCTCTCCGCCAGGTCGCGTCGTCGATCGTACCCGTAATCTTCTCCAGCAGTACTGTCTGAAACCTCCTTCCTGGCCTCCACTGCTTCTCGGAATAAATCTCTGTGATATTCGTACAAGGTTCGCTGATACAGCATATCTTCTGCCAAAATCTGCTGCTTCTTCTCTAGTGCCGCGATCTTCTCTTCGGCTTGAACCATTCCTGCCTGAGCTTCGGCTCTCTGGACTGACAAGGGTTTCAGTTGCCAGTGCATCCACTTCATCACACTCAACTCGTGCTCCTGTGCCGCCATGTATGTGCCCGCCTTCTTGCCCTGCACCAGTAGCTCCGCCAACTTGAGCATCCTGTCCTCCACCTGCTGCTTGTACTGCTTCATCTCTCGGGGCTCTGGGGGCTGCTTGTAAGCAGCATGACGAAGTGCATATTCCTGCGTGCACATCATGTGAGCATCCAGCGTACTCTTGACTTCAGCACGAAAACTCGACTTCTCGCGCTCCCGACGTTTGTCATCAGCTTGACGTTGTTGATGCTTCCTACAAGTCATACTGCAATTCTTCCAACCTCGGCCTCCATCTCGAATCTTGCCTTTGCATACCCATGTGCCCTGATCGTTGACCGATTGGCACTCCATACATGTCCACGTGCCAGCCGTACGTCCTGAAGCCATACTTGAATGGTGCAGCTCGATAAGTCTTCGTGCACGCTCCAATCGCAACACCACACGAGCCTCAGCTCTTAGTCTCCTGGCTCTCCTGTGCCAGGCAGGACTCCGCTTCCTCTTCGAAGCCGCCGTCGGCCTTGTCGGACTCGAACAGGTCCTGCGCTTCCTCCCGAGCGCCCGCAGCTATGGCTGCGGCTGCGGGCCGCGGGCGCGCGTGCGCCTCGCCTGGGCGCGGCCGCGGGTCGGGCTGCCCTGCCCGCCCTCGGGCCGTGACGCCTCCTACTCCTCCTCCTCCTCCTCCTCGCTCCCAGTCTCCCTTCCCCTGGCCCTGTCCTTCGCTCTCCCGCCACATGCTCTGCGGCTCTTCATCCTCCCTCTGTTCACTCCTCCCCTCATTCTCCTCATCCTCCTTGTCCTTCTTCCTCTTCCTCTTCCTGCTTCTCCTTGTCCTTCTTCCTGTTTTTCTCATTGTCCTCTTCCGTCTCCTTCTTCCTCTTCCTCCTTCTCCTTGTCCTCTTCCTCCCCTCATTCTCCTCATCCTCCTTGTCCTTCTTCCTGTTCTTCTCCGCCTCTTCCTGCTTCGCCCACCTCTTCTCTGCTCTCAGCACCAGCAGTGCTCCGGGGCCCCTGTGGTTCCACTCACACGATGCTCGAGTGCTTGATGTGGTGCCACCGCAATCAGCTCGAGAGATTATCGGATACGCAACTTGGCCAAACGAAGGATTGCAAAAAAACCCAGGATTGCAAAAAAAGGATTGCAATCCTTCGTCGTTTTTTTTGCAATGCAAAAAAAGGTGTGTTTTTTTGCAATCCGGGTTTTTTTTGGCAATCCTTCGTTCAAGTGAGTCGTGAGTGGTGCCGCTGTGTCATATGAATAGCAATATTTTCGGGACGCTGATAAGAACAATGACAAGCATACGCGCGAGAGCCGGCTCCGTGCATTGCAATACTCTGCGCCCACAAACTGCGCACTACTCATCACGCCAATGTGCAAGGTGAGGCATATGCTCCGACTCAACTCAACAACGTATGCGCGTATGCATCTACGGCCGCCAAAACGACACTCGCTGATGACAAATGGGTGACGCAATGGTTGCAAAACCCATGGACTCCTAACAAGAAATACTGTCTCATGGGTACATTTCGACGCATCGACCGGTCTTGCCTCGGGCCGTGCACCGTCTGAACGCTACACGGGTGACCACATTTAGTGTGCAGTGTCTATCGCACTTCGGCTGACTCCTGAAGCTTGCCGCGGGCTCAGCAACTCTGTGGCCATAAGCGAGAGAGAGGAGCGGGCAGCCCAATGCATTACTGAATGCGCTCGAATGTCGGACGACAGGATAGACTGGACGCTGAGACCTGATCACCACCTTCGCACACCGCTGGATCCTTCCTGCGCGCCCTTGACACAGTGCTGTGATTGTGGTGACGAGGGTAAGAGTAGGCCAGGAGAGTCATGACAGTGACACCTCAGTCGCCGTCTAGAATCGTGGCTGCTGGCCACTCGTGCTGACTTCAATGCGGCTGCGTGGGTGCGCCGCGTGCTCCCTCCTCCTCTTCCCCCTACCCCGCTTCTCCAACCCTCGCGCCCTATCTCCTACCCCCGCCCTCTGCCGTCGCCCTTCTCCTCCCGCCGTCGCCGTCCTCCTTCCCCAGAGTACGAGTATTCCTCTTCCTCGTCGCCGCCCTATTCTTCCTTCTCCCCTTTTCCTCTTCCACCTTGGTACGCTAAGGGCAAGCATTGGCGCATGGCACTCCCCTTCCCTGCCAGAAGCAGCACGCCCTGCCGTACAGCAGCTGTGGCCAGCAGCAAAGAACATCCTTCCAGGTGAGGTGCACGCCCATCAGCTCCCTGGCTTCCAGCGAAGATGCAAGTACGAATGACCATCAACTCTGCCATACGTCTTACAGCAACAAGTGCTAGCAATGTGTTTGGGATTTGTCCGAATGGAGGTGCCTTGTGCTTTGATTCCAACTGGCAGTTCTGACAGCGGCAACAGTGGGTGTTGTGGTGGTTGTGTTGGGTGATTGGGGTTGTAAGTGAAGTGGTGATGGTTGGTTGTGGCGCTGGTGAGTGGACTGTTGGTTGCTGGTGGGTAGGAAAGTGGTGGGTGCTTTCGGGAGATGCATGTGCGGGCCACTCTTGCCCAAACGAGACACATACCTGGCACGTTCGCGCATACTCGCGCGCGATTGCGCACACAATACGCAACGTTGTACAAACTGTGATCTTCGCAACTTTGAAGCGCTAATTTGTAGTGACGGTGCTGGCGATCCGATCGATGCACGTCCCCTTCTTCCTCACCCTCCTGCTGATACGCCTCACTGAGGCAATGCAGTATAGTTCTCATCGAAATTCGTCTGCGTGTAACCACGCGCGTACACACGCAGCAACCACACCAAGCAATTAACTTACCCTGCGATATGTCAGATAAAAAACAGGTCAGTGGTCAATTCGCGCTTGAATTGGTCCAGAACGCGCTCCCGCTCCCCACAGGGGTTGAGGAGCGAGGGCGAGGAGGACGTGGACGGGTAGCAGAAGTGAAGCCCAGGTCAATCCAAAGGCGGTCCAACGTCTCCCAAGAAGGCCTAATCCAGGACGGCCCAAGATGCTCTCAAGATGGCTCAAGAGGTTCCCAATACGCCGCAAGAAAATGTAAAGAGGACGCGCAGGAGGCTCTCAAGAGGCAAAGCTCATTAGTTGTCCGACGTGTTTTGAAAGATTTGGGGATGCGCGGTTTCTCGGGCCTCTAAACCCACTTGCGACAGAGAAAACCCAATGAGTGGATGGTTTGACAGTAGTGATATGGATATCGATCTATCGTGAGCTCGATAGTGGGATTGATAGCGAGGACGATAGTAAGGTCGATCGTGAGACCGATAGTGAAGTCGATTCAGTGAGCTCGATCGTGATCGATCGTGAAACCGCTCTTGCGATCTATAGTGAGATCGATTGTGAGATCGATAATGAGATCAATTGTGAGATCGATCGTTAGATCGATAATCAGAGAGGTGGGTAACGAGATCGATCGTGAGACCGACCGATAAACAGATCAACCAAGAACCCTGGAGCCCGGAAACCCAGGAACCCTGCCGCCCACCGAAATCGGCCAGGAACCAACAACCGGGAACCGGGGAGCCCGAAACCGAGAACCCGGGAACCAGGACGCGTACCGAAATCGGCCGGGCACTTTCGCTAAATCCGCAGACCCCTTGTGGGTCTCTAGGCGTGTGAGAATCTTGCTCCCCCATAACCTCCCCCCCCGGGACCCCAGACTGGCAAATCGACCCCCCCCCTCGCCGCGGACGAACCCCACCCCTTCGCCCCATACGAACGCGCCCTCCTCCCCCCTCGCCCCGGACGAACGCGCCCTGGAGGGATAGAGAACCCAAAAACAAGCCAAAGGGCCGTCAGAGGCTCCCAAGAAACTCCACGAGGACCCAGAGTTGCCGAAAAATCTTCATGAGACGCTCCAAGATGGCCTCCACACGCCCCAGATACCCCCACGACGCCCCAACGGGCGTCCGAGAAGCCTCCACGAGCCTTTCCAAGAGGGCCCAACGAGGCAAGATGTGTTATTTTTCCATGGGTTTCTGCAGGCATTTTCGCCTTGTCACCTTTTCGGTTTCCCGACGCTCCAAGACGTCCCCAGCGACCCACAAGATCGTTACACCACGGCTCAACACGCCTCCACGAGGGCCCCAGAACGGCGCAAGAGGGCCCCAAGACGTCCCGAGAGGTCTCCAAAACGGCAGCCCAGACGGATCCAAACGCACATTTCGAGCCCTCACTTTCGAGTCACTTTCGAGAGCCCCCCAGGAAGCCCCAAGAGGCCTTGGAGGCCCCAAGGAAGCTTGAAGAGGCGCCCAAGATGCTCCACATAGGCCCCCTACACACGGCCCTAGGTGCCTAAGACGCCTCAAGAGGCGTCCAAGAAGCCTCCACGAGGTATTCCAAGAAAGCTCCACCAGGCTAGAGTCGCTAATCTTCCATAGGTTATTGAACATGTGTTTGCCTTTTCGCCTTTTCGCATTCCCGACGCTCCATCACAACCCCAGCGGCCCCCAAGATCGCATTAAGACGGCTTCAAAGAACCTCCAAGAGGAACCCAACACGGCGCAAGAGGGCCCCAAGACGTCCCAAGAGGTCTCCCGGACGGCCCAAGAGGCTCCCAAGACGCCTCCAAGAGGGAGCCTGGACGGTGGATCCAAACGCACATTTCGAGCCTTCACTTTCGAGAGCCCCCAGGAGGCCCCAAGAGGCCCCCAACAAGACCCCAGGAAGCCTGAAGAGGCGCCCAAGATGCTCCAAAGAGGTCCCCTCAGAAGGCCCCAGATACTCCCAAAACCCCCCAAGGGGCCTCCAAAAAACCTCCACGACAGGGCTCCACGAGGCAATACTGTTCATTTCGGCTGGTTTCTGCACGTATTTACATCTTTTCACCATTTCGGTTTCCCGACGCTCCAAGACGGCCCTTCCGACCCTCGAGATCACTCTACAACGGCCCAGAATGCCTCCAAGAGGGCCCCAACACGGCGCAAGAGGGCCCCAAGACGTCCCAAGTCCCAAGAGGCCCCCAAGACGGCGCAAGAGGCTCCCAAGACGCCTCCAAGAGGGAGCCTGGACGGTGGATCCAAACGTACATTTCGAGCCTTCACTTTCGAGAGCCCCCAGGAGGCCCCAAGAGGCCCCCAACAAGACCCCAGGAAGCCTGAAGAGGCCCCCAAGATGCTCCAAAGAGGTCCCTCTACAGGGCCCCAGATGCCCCCAAAACGCACCCAGGGGCGTCCAAAAAGGCTTCACGAGGTAGTCTAAGTGTGCTCCACGAGGCAAGATTCGTTATTTTTTCCGCAGCGGCTCTTGCAATACCTCCAAAGAGCACGAAGAACTCTGAGAAAACCAGCCGTTGACCCCACCGAAGAGAAACCATGACGCATCAGAAAAACATGCAAATGACTCCACGGACGTACCGAACATACTCTGGGAAACGAGCTACAATCAAGGGGTCGGCGGATGTGGCGCAATCCTGTAGAACCCACGTCCAGAAGTGACGTGCTGAGCGGCAGCGTTTTCCGCGGATGCTGTAATGCAGCGTATCCATTGTATCCCATAAATGTATACTTGCTACACATTGTCTAGTGTTACAATACTATGTCTCCCCCCTAACCCCCCCCAGGGGCTGCGCCACATCCATCGACCCAACCTGACGACCCCCTGTTGGGGCCCCAAAACCAACCAACACATGCTATGAATCCGGCTTCTTGGGCCTCTTGGGGGGCCACGAGGGCGTCAGGACGGCTCAAGACGGCCTCTGTGCGGGCCAAGACGGCTCCACGACGGCCTAAGATGGCCCCGCCACAAGAAGGCCCAAGACGGACCCAAGAGGACCCCCTAAGAGCGCCTCCAGAAGCCCAAATCTTTGATTTTCCTATGGTTTTGAAAATTTCAGCGCTCCCGCCTATTTCGACTCTCGGAGGTCCAGGACGGCCGAAACAGCCTCCGAAGTGGCCCCCAGACGGCCCAAGAAGCCCTCAAGAGGGCCCCAGAACGGCCCAACAGGGCTCCCAGACAACCTAAAGAGGCCGCCGAGATGCCCCAAGAGGCCCCCAAGACGGCCCAAGTACAGCGCCAGAGCGCCCCCAAGACGCCCATACGGGGCTCCGAGAGGCCCCCAAGAGGTCTCCCAGGGGCCCCCAAGAGGCCTCCCAGACGCCCCCACAAGGACCCAAGAGGCCCCAAAGAGGCCTCCAAGGGGCCCCCAAGAGCCCAGAGGCCCGACAACGACTGGACTGTACGTGCTCCGGACATGCACCCCGCGAAGCGAGAGGAATCCACGTCCGGAAGTGGCGTGCTAAGCGGCAGCGTTTTGTTTTCTGTGGAGGCGATAATGCAACGTATCCAATGTATCCAATCGTTGTATACTTGCCACGTGTTGTATTGCTTTACGTTATTATGTCTCCCCCCCGAATCTCCCCTTGGAGTTGCGCCACTCCGCCGACCCATGATGGATGCCCCCCTTCTCGGGCTCTCGAAACCAATTAACGGAAAGAAAAAACCATGGGAAATCCACGATTTGGGCCTCTGAGCCGTCTGGGGACTCCAAGATGGTCCAATATGGCCCCCAAACGGCCCAAGGCGGCCCTCCAACATGGTCCGGAGAGGGCCCGTGAGGCCCCCACGACGGCTCAATGGGGGCCCCAAGAGGACTCGAAGGAGCGCCTCCAGGAGCCAAAACCATTTATTGTCCGTGGGTGTTTGAAAGAGTTTAGCGTTCTCGCCTGTTTCGTCTCTCAGAAGGCCATGACGGCCCAAGCAGCCTCCAAGAAGACCCCAAGATGGCCAAAGAGGCCCACAAAGGGGCCCCAGGGATTGCTCAAGAGGGCCCCGAGACGGCCCAAAGAGGCCCCCAAGACGGTCCAAGGGGCCCCCAAAATGGCCGAAGAGGACTCCAAGAGAGCCCGAAGGCGGCTGCGAGAGGCCTCCAAGGTGGCCTGCGAAGGGGCCAGACGGCGTAAGAGCGCCCCAAGCCGGCGCAAGACGTCAACAAGAGGCCCCACGAGGCCCCAAATCGGCCCCCAAGACGCTCCAAGAAACCCCCACGAGGCTTTCGAGAGGCTCCCAAAAGCCCCCCAATGAGGCCGCCCAGAAGCCCTAGGGATGGGAGGACGGAGCGGCTCGCCAACGCGCGGCGGCCGAGCAGGGCTCGCCAACCAACGCCCACGCCTTCCACACTTGAGCCCTTTTCCACAGCGGCAGGCGCCCCCAGGAAGCCCAGAGAGACTCCCAAGAGGCGCCCGAAGAGGCCCCCATTATAAGGCCCCCAAGAAGTCACAGGAGGCCTCCAGGCAGCCCCCAAGAGGCCCCCCCAAAGGCTTCCGAGAGGCCTCACACGGCCACCCATAGGCCCCCGAGGGCCCTCCGAAGAGACCCTCAGGAGCATCCCTGAGGACTCTGACCCACTACCCAAGCACGGTGACGGACGGGCCGCCACTCTGACCCAGCACCCAGACCCCGACTCTCAGACGCCCATGACGGCCCAAGCAGCCTCCAAAATGGCTCCAAGACGGCCCAAGAAGCCCTCAAAAGGCCTCCGTGATGGCCCAAGCGGGCCCTAAGACGGCCCAACTTAAGAGGACCCCAAGAGAGCCCCAAAACGGCCACGAGAGGCCCTCAGACTGGCTTCCGAATGGGCCACACGCCGCAAGAGCGCCCCAAGACGGCCCAGGACGCCCGCAAGAACCCCCAAGAGGCCCCAAAGAAACCCAGTGCAGAAGAGGCCCCACGAAGCCCCCAAGACACCTCCAAGAGGCCACAAAGAAGCTCCCAAAGGGCCCCGCAACGACTGGACGGCACGTGCTCGGGAGGTGCGCCCCGCGAAGCGAAAAGGAATCTACGTCCGAAGGTGCCGTGCTGCTGGAGGCAGGTCCGCGGATGCTGTAACGCAGCGCTCCTGCGAACGCTTTTAATGCAACGTATCATATGTACCCAATGATTGTACAGTTTTTTTCTGGCAAGGCGACAGAGATGCACCACTGGAATTCCTAAAACACTTCGGTCAGGAATCCAACTCCTATCGAGCACAACCCTGAGCTGCCGGATGTTATATATCTGACTCTGAGCACCGTGCACTAACACGAAAACTTAAAGTCCGACCGAAAACTTAAAGTCCGACCTCCAATGATTGTACAGGTGTTATCAATGGCATTGTTTTGCACTGCTATGTCTCCCCCCGCCCCCCTTTCTAGGGCTGCGCCGCATCCGTTGACCTAGGGTGGAGACCCCTTTTCCCGTGGCTCAAACATAGGAGAACCAATGCTGTGGGCCTGTTGGCCCCTCTTGGGGGTGCAACAAGGCCTCAAGACGTCTCCAGATGGCCCCGCGACGGCCCAAGACGGCCGCCAGATGACCCAAACGGCCCCAAGAGGGCCCAAGAAGCTCCCAAGACGCCCCAAGAAGGCCCTGAGAGGACTCTCGAAAGCGATTCCAGAAGCCAGAATCATAGATTCCCAATCGGGTTTTGACATATTTTAGCGTTCTCTCGCCTAATACGACTCTCAGAGGTCCAGGACGGCCGACGCAGCCACCCAAATGGCCCCAGCACGGCCCAAAAAGCCCTCAAGAGGGCCCCAAGACGGCCCAAGAGGGCGCCAAGACGGCCCAAAGAGGCCTCCAAAACAAATGGTCCCCAAGACGGCCCAAAAGGACCCCGAGAGAGCCAATGCGGCCTCTGCAGGCCCCCCAGACGGCCTCTGAAGGGACCAGACAGCGCAAGACCGCACCAATACGGCCCAAGACGCTCACACGGGGCTCCGAGAGGCCCCCGATAAACCCCACAGAGGCCCCCCAGAAACTCCCTAAGAAACCTAAATCGCCCCAGGACGGTCCAAGACGTCCCCAAGAGACCCCCAGGAGGCCCTGTAAAAGAACCCCAGGAGTCCCCTGGGAAGGCCGAGGAGGCCTCCACACGACTGGATTGCAAATGCTCCGCACTACTCCGAACAGCCCGAAGGGGCCCCCAAGAAGCCCTCAAGGCGCCCGATGACTTCCACGATGCGCGCAACACGCACTCTGGACGACGCCGAGACGAACGGCGTGCGAAACCCACGCGGCGGCACACGAGCAGGCCAAACCATCTCACACCGACACGCTGCACCAGTTGTATTTCTCACGCGTCCGCAATCGACAGGCCACTCTGGTACGGACGGAGACTTCCAGCAGGCAGGGCACACCAAGCCTGCGTTGCCGCGGTTGGACGGCGGCACTGGATTTCGGGGAATCGATCTCGGCCTCCAAGAGGCCCCCAAGAGCCAGGCCCCACAGGCTCCCAAGAGGCCGCACAACGACTGGACTGTACGTGCTCCGGACGTGCGCCCCGCGGAGTGCGAGGAATCCTCGTCCAGAAATGACGTGTTGCCGGAGGCAGGTCCGCGGATGCTGTAATGCAACGTATCCAATGCATCCAATGACTGCGCAAGTGTAATGTATCACATCATTACAGAATTGGTGCATACTGTTTTGTGTTAAAGTAGTTTGTCTCCCCCCTACCCGCCCTGGAACCACGCCGCAGAGCCGTACCGAATCTGAAGGCCCTCATTCTGGGGCCTCCCGTGAGCGAAAAGCGACATATCTCTGAGCAGGCCTCGCGAAGCCTCGACTGTACGGACCCTCGTCAGCCACAGAAAGCCGCGCCCCGAACCCCTGCGGGCGGCGGTGGCGACCGCGACTACGACGACGCCGAGGGTGCCGCTGCCAGGGTACATTTGGGCAGCGGTGCCCCATGCCCGGGTCGGATCGAACGACAGGGGGGAGGGGTGATCAGCGAATCAGCTCACGAGGCTGGTTCTGCCGCCACCAGCGTGCCGAAGAAAACGCCGCGGAGGCGGAAACGAAACCGGCTGCATGCCCCACTCTCCGCCAGGGCTTGATCCAATTTCAGCACGGACTGCCGTGGCCACGGCTCGGCGGCAGAAACCAGCAGGCCATCGCAACACAAGTCGTTCAAAGTGAGCCTGAGCCCTGGCCCCACCTGGGGGAGCCCATGGCATCGACGATTTCTCTCGAGAGGGGTGCCGAGGCCAACAGGCCCCCCGATCGCACGACCACGACGCCGCCGACGGCGGCGGCGGGGCTCGCTTGCGGCGGCCGCGGCAATAGCCGGGGCAGCCCGGACGGGGCGGCGGCGAGGAGCCGCGGCCGGCTTGGGCCCTTTGAGGCGGCTGCGGCGGCGGCGGCCTGGAGGTCCTCGCCGCGGTCGTCGTCGTCGTCGTCGTCGTCGTCGTCGTCGTCGTCGTCGTCGTCGTCGTCGTCGTCGTGCTGGCCTTCCCCCTCGTGGGGGGTTGCTAAACTCGGCGGGGCTTTCCACATGCCCGTTGGGCTCGGCCACCGCGCAGTGAGCGGTGGAGGCCGCGCCGCGCAGAGCGGCCAGATGCGGCAAGCAGTGACGGGCCCGGCCGCGCAGAGGGCCGCGCCCGACCGCCGCCAGCCTGGCGGCTTGGCACCCTCTGGGGCTGGGCTGCAAAAGTCGTCGTCGTCGTCGTCGACGCCGTCGTCGTCGCCGTCGCCGTCGTCGCCGTCGCCGTCGTCGTCGTCGTCGTCGTCGCCGTCGTCGCCGTCGTCGTCGTCGTCGTCGTCGTCGCCGTCGTCGTCGTCGTCGTCGTCGTCGTCGTCGTTGTCGTCGTCGTCATCGCCGTCGTCGTCGTCGTCGTCGTCGTGGTCGTTGTCGTCCTCGTCGTCGTCGTCGTGGTCGTGGTCGTCCTCCTCCTCCTTCTCGATGTCGTCGCCCATAGCCGCCGCGGCTCCAGAAGGCTCGCGCTAAGAAATCCAGCGGTACGCTCGGCAGGCGCCAAGCGACGCGAGGGGGCTCGCAAGCACGGCCTTGAAGCTCTGCGGCCTCTCCGTTCCCCAAGGCCCCAGAGGGGTTCGGCGGGGGCGGGAGCGGGGACATCCGATAGGGGCGAGGGGAGAAGTGCGGTGGGGTTCACCGCCCATAGACGGAAAGTTCAAGGGGGGAGCAAAGAACATTGGAGTGGGGGGGCCCATCAGATGGGAACTGTCTGTCCCCGCCCGAGGTTGCGCCCCACCTCGGACGGGTCAAGCCAACAGGGCCCCCCACTCCCCGAAACTAGCCAAAAGCCTTGGGGTCTTCGGCATTCGCCGCCCGCTGGGCCTGGCCTTCAGCTCGGGTACTGGAGCACCTGTTGAACGAGAGTCTCCGCTCTCTCACGGGAGCTGAAACCAGAGGCGAACAACGCAAAATCAAACCCGATGCGCGGGGCCACAAAGCTGCTTCGAAAACGGAAGCATGGTGAACACCTTCCCTGAGTCCCCTCCTCACTGTAGGCCGGACCTTCAAAGATCTTCTTTATTTGGCTCAGCGTCTTCATTTGGTGCTGTGAGTGAAGATACTCGCAGAACGTCTGCTATCATACTGCCTGGTGGGATATGCTGGTTCGTTTTTCCTTGTCGTCGCTAAAACGGGAACCAGGTGGTACCATCGTTGAGTATGGGTCTGTCGTAGTCGTTGCGTCTGCCAGCCCCAATCCCAAGATCAAAACAGCTCTGCCGAGCCTTGGTGGCCCTAGATGTGACGCTTCTCCGATCCGCACCCCAACAGACAACGAATAATTGTACGGAAGCTCATGGAACGTGGACGAAGCCACCCGTTCACAGAGAGAATGGCGCCGACATAATGATTGATAGTCCGTCCAACATTTGGTGGTTTTCGTACTGGTATACGTCTAAGCATGTTACGTCGTAACGCTTCGTCGGCGGACGGAGCGTTACGACGTATATGGGGGGCTAGGAACAGAAAGCACGTGGCAGAACCAGACGTGCCGAAGTATATGAGAAACGGGGGGCACAAGCTATCGGGCTAGTTCCAGTTTTGGCGCGTCCGGCAGGGGGGCAACGTTAGAAGAGTTGCACCGTTTGTGGGGGATTGTGGGCTTGGCTCTACAGAAGGATGTTGCCAACACATTTCTCCATGAGCCTGATTTTGTTACCTTCCGGGATAGAGGCCGTTCCCGGCCCCGCGCCCTCCCCTTCCCTCCCAGATGACGTCACGTTCCGCGCCGGCGGCGTCCAAACATGCCTAGGGATGACTGGGGCCAAGTAGGGGCAACCTGTAAGTGGCGATTTGCACCACGACGCTTGTGTACACCACAGTGCTCGCGTGCGCCACAGCACGCGTGCACACCATTGCGCTTTTTTGTACACCGCAACAGCCGTGTGCAACGCAGCACCTGTGTACACCACAGTGCTTGCGCGCGTGCACCACAGCGCCTGTGTACACCACAGCGAATGTGTACATCGCACAATCCATGTGCAACACAGCGCGTCTGTACACCAAGGTGCTCGCGTGCACCGCAGCGCTTGTGCACAACACAACGCCTGTGTATACCACACACACAACATCCGCGTGCAACGCAGCGGTGGTATACACAACAGTGCTTGCGCGCACAGGACAAATACAAGCAACATGTAGGTGAGGATCTGCTGCGGACAGCTAAACACCAAGTAAGATAAGTGCTGGTACTGGAATATGTGATTCCTTCCTCCTTCCGCCTCCTCCTCCTCCTCCTTCTTGTCGTCCCCCTCCTCCTCCTCGTCCTCCTCCTCCTCTTCCTCCCCATCCGCGTCTCTCTCCTCCTCCTCGGTCTTCTCCTCTTCCTCCTCCTCGGCCTTCTCCGCGTCCTCCTCCTCCTCCTCCTCGGCCTTCTCCTCTCCTCCTCTTCTTCCTCCTCCTTCTCCTCATCCTCCTCCTCCTCCCCCTCCTCCTCCTCCTCCTCCTCCTCATCCTCCTCCTCCTACCTCACCCTTCCTTCCCCCGTCGTGCGGGTCGGCGCTGCAGCGCACGTGCGGGTGTCAGTGTGCACTGCAGAGTGGTCGATTGAATCAGTCACTTGGTTTTCGGACGGCCAATTTTGCGGGAGCCTTTTGACGCAGATGGGGAAAGTTAGGACGATGCGGGAGGACTCGTAGGTTCCAGCGGCACTCCTTTTTTGCAAGGGGAGGGATGGACCACGGGATTAGCAAGAGGGGGGCTAGGAGCAGAAAACACGTGCCACAATCAAACGGGCCCGTCGGGCGGGGCGCAAATAAAACAAAGAACTGGCCATGTGGAGCACGCGGGCGCTGTGGTGTACACTGGTGCCGTGTTGCACACGGCTGCTGTGGTGTACGCAGGCGTTGTGGTGTACACAAGCGCTGTGGTGCACGCAAGCACTGTGGCGCACGCAAGCACTGAAGCGCACATTGGTGCTGTCTTGCACGCGGCTGCTTTGGTGTAGAGAAGCGGTGTAATGTACACAAGCGTTGTGGCGCTGTGGTGCAGATCGCCACCTACATGCTGCTGCTACCCGTCCTCGGTCATTCCTAAGCATTCGCAGATGCCGCTGGCGCGAAAAGTGACGTAATCGACCCCTCCCCTCCCCCCAAATGACGGCCGTTATCGGCCGGAATTAAAAAAAAACAGGCTCCATGCGCATGGGGATCCCCGAGCCACGGTCCTCGAGCCGCCATGCTAGGTCGCTGACTTGGGGGGCACGAGGGCGCTCCAAGTTTTTCTCCTCTTCCTCTTCCCCCTCCTCTATTTCTTTTCCTTATAATAAATAACTTCTCCTCGTCGCACCCCGAGCCCAGTTTTTAGGGCCGGCGCGGCGTTTCGCCTGAAACGTCCTCACTTCTTATGACCCTGAATCCTGAAGCTGAAAACTTGGCAACGACCTCGCAGATGGAAGGCGGCACGTTTTCAAAATGTGGCTCTCGCCGCAGCGCCGCGCACACTCGCTTTAAACAATTGCCAACAATTTCACGGATTGATGGCGGCACGTTTTCAACATGTGACTCTCGCCTTAGCGCCGCGTGCACTCGTTTAAACATTTGCAAGAGCTTCACAGATGGAGGGCGGCATGTTTTCAAAATGTGGCTGTCGCCTTTACGCCGCGTGCGTTCGTTTCAAACATGTACACAACACTCACGGATTGCAGGCGGCTCGTTTTCAAAATGGGGCTCCGCGCATTTCCGCCTCTAAATTTCCAAAAGTTTCGCGGGTTCCCCTGATTAGCTTACCACAAATGGTGTTTGGGAACGATTCAAGATTATGCGGGTACAACAATTACGTTGGTTCGCGGTGTTGGAGTCCCAAGAGTCGCGTCCTGGCACGATTTGGGATCGCCAAGACGCAACAATCAGATTGATCCGTGGCGTGGAATCCCGAGAACGATGTTTTGGAATGCTTCAGGGTTTTCAAACTGTTTTCGTTCAGCGGGGCGGTTCCCCAAGCGGAAATGAATCGTTGTAGGGGCCCATGGAGACGGAGCCTGGAGGGAGGGTTTATTCCAACATCTCTGGTGACTCTTGGGTTTACACAAAACTACCTGGCCGCTGCCCGCGCGAACATGCGCGGGCCAGCGCGGCCGCAGGGACGCACTAGCAAACGCCAAGCACTCATCGCAATCGCCGCCGCATGGGTTTTGCAAACCAACTAGCGGGTGGGTGGGTGGGGCGTTTGCAAGAACATGAGAATTGCCAACTCGGTTGTAAAACGGAATTGCGCCACATAGAATGCCCCACAAACATTGTACAACAGATATTGCGCCAGCATGAGGGGGCCCAGCGCCCATTCATTGTACCTGGGTGCGTGACTGAAAAGGGAACCGTGGTGAGGACTATGCTTGTTGCCTTGATGTTGTTGTTGTTGTTGTTGTTGTTGTTGTTGTTGTCGTTGTTGTTGTTCATGTCGTTTGTTGTCGTCGTCCCACCCGCGACCCACTTTCGACCCACCCCGCGACCCACCCCGCGACCTACCCCGCGACCCACCCCGCGACCCACCCCGCGACCCACCCCGCGACCCACCCGCGAGACCACCCGCAACACCGCCCGCGACCCACCTGCGACCCACCCCGCGACCCACCCCGCGACCCACCCCGCGACCCACCCCGCGACCCACCCCGCGACCCACCCCGCGACCCACCCGCGACCCACCTGCGACCCACCCGCGACCCACCCGCGACCCACTTGCGACCAACCCACGACCAACTCTGCGACCCACCCGCGACCCACCCGCGACCCACCTGCGACCCATTTGCGACCCACCCGCGACCCATTTGCGACCGACCCGCGACCCACCCACATTGGTTTAACGAAAAAATCGGCGCCTGCGGCGGGCTTCTCCGGAGTCTCGCAAAATGCCGACGTCCCCGCCGCCCCCTCACTGTTACCCGCATTGGCGGGGTGCACGCATATTCTCATTTCTGAATGAGTATTTGGATCTCCCCCCCCCCCTTGCCCCCGGAATTAACGACTCCCCTTTTCGCGTTGCACTTTGCGTGCGATTCTGCCCCTCCCCCAGGCAGGCCAGCGACCCCCCCCCGCCCCCTGAAAAAACATGCGCGCGCAGTCGCTGCTCAACAATCATAAATCCCCAAAACCCCCTTGCAATAGGAAGGGGCGACATGCACGCGCGCGCTGTCGCGCCCGTCAAAGTTCTTCGCAAACCTTAGGTTTCGCGGAGGTTTCTAATGGAGTGGCCCAAAAAACATGCCAAATTATCCCAGAGAGACCCTACCCAGGAGTTGGAGCCCCGAGGAGAGCAATGTTAGTTGGCATGACCTACGTTCGGGATGGACACAGCCTGAACGTTGACTGCGGTGAGGCATGGGCAGCCTCACATGAAAATGAAATCATGCACCCAATCGTTACGTATCCGAATGACACAGAACAGCGGATGCGACATGGTGCTCGCAATCGCCATCTCCACCGTATTTCACATGTGCCGCCCCAAGCCTATGTCTCGCTAAGTTCTTCAGCGTGCGGGCATTCGCCAGGATGCCGGCATGAACGCTTCATTGCTTGTGCTAACAAATCGCGCCCAGGTGCCCAAAAGGCCATCATTGCCTCATCAGGCACCCACAACGCCCCTGAAGACCCTACGAAGAACCAAGCTGTCGGACCTATCCGCCAGCTCTTGGGGCTCTGCTCGCAACGGAGTTGCTTTCCAACACCTGCGCCTCCTCGTCGACGTTCACCTCTTTCCGGGGGTGGTCGGGTCGCCCCGGACAGCCGCTGGAGGCGTGGGTTATCACCCGAACACAAAGCCGTGTCGCAACGCAACGGAAATCCCAACGCATCGGGGGGAGAATTGTCGGCCTCCGGGGACCCCTTCCTGGCCCGAGGGATCATCGACAACGACGCGCAACTCGGGATGAAACACCAGTCTGAGAAGGGGTCCCAGAGAAGGGGCCGCTTTTGTTGGCTCGGCTTCGTTTGCATTTTTGGTTCGCCCCCCCCTTCCGGGCCCCCTTCCGGGCCAGGGAAGGCCGCCGACGCTGGCGCTGTTTCGCGAGCGCCGCCAGGCCGCCGCGCAAGTCGGTGGGCCAACCGAACCGAGACCCTCCGCAGGCCAAAGCACCCCGAACCATAAGATCATTCGAGGGCCAGGACGCACGAATAACATCCAACAAACACGAAGAACATCAAAGTACCGTCCCCGAACCGACCTCGATCTTTTACCTCGGTCCGACGGCATGCGGTCGAGCTGCTGCCAAAAGGAGCGCCAATTCAGAGACGAAACCCCGCGTTGCCCTCAAAAGCGCCCGGGTGCACGATGAGCGTTTGGGGAACAGCCGTGAGGGTCCTCTTGCAATCGCTCGGACGTCCACTTTCCCCTTGTGTTGCTTCGTTTCGCGCGTGTTTTCTGTCTCAAGGTGAGCCTGGATGCCCCACGGTGGTCCAGAGTTCCTGACGCTGGCCTCGCCTGAAACACACAGAGACACAGAGACACAGAGACAGAGACAGCCACGGACACAGACACAGACAGACAGACAGACAGACACACACACACAAACACGCACACACGACCATGCACACACACACAACACACACACACACACGCACACACACACACACACACACGCACACACACGCATACACACGCACACACACGCACATGCACACACACATACACGCACGCACACACGACCATGCACACACACAACACACACACACACGCACACACACGCACACACACGCACACACACACGCGCACACACACGCACACACACAAACACACACGCACGCACGCACGCACACGCACACACACACACATGCACACACATGCACACACATGCACACACACGCAACACACACGCATACACACGCACACACACACACACACACGCACACGCACACACACACACACACACACACGCACACGCACACAACACACACACACAAACACACACACAAACACACACACGCACACACACACGCGCACACACACGCACACACACACACACACACGCAGGCACGCACGCACACGCACACACACACATGCACACACATGCACACACATGCACACACGCACACACACACGCATACACACACGCACACACACACACACACACACACACGCACACGCACACGCACACGCACACGCACACACACACACACACCCACGCACACACGCACACACACACACACGTCCGAGCGATGCTACGTCCTGAGGAACAGCGAGCCCCTTCCGAACCCGAACTGCTCCTTACTGTGGTCAGAGACCAAGGAGGCAGCGGCGAGCGAGCTTGACCTCGTCGGCCCAATCGCCAGCCTCGCGCTCCGCTGGCAGCTCCGGCCAACGGCCGCTCGCGGAAGCCGGAGGCAACACTCGCTCTGGAACATGGGGAGAAAGGGGAGGCGAGAAAAAATCTACGGACGACTTCTGTGCACCGTACCGCGTTAGCGTCTCCCTGAGGCGTCGTCGATCCTCAAGCAAGCAATTGTATGGTGCATAGTTTTCCGGCCCTCAGGGCCGAACATGTATTCACGGTGCATGGGCGCCGCCCTGGCCGAATGGGAGGCGGGGGGCTGGACGGGAGGGGAAACGGGAAAGGAGAGAGAGGTTGAGAGGAGGAGAAGGCCGCACCACCGAGTGCAGCGCCACCCGTGAAAAAACGCCGGCGTGCAGCACCGAGCAGAGCTGCTGCGCCGCGCGCGTAGACATTGTTTCTGCCGTGCAGGGCGGCGTGCCGAGCGAGCTACGCCTCCGAGCCCTGGCCTGGCACTTCCCGGGCTGCCCCCCCGCCCGATGTCTGCCTATATGCGAGAGACAACCGCGCGGGGCATTCACGCGCCCTTGCCTCGGAGCATCGCATCTGCACCCAGCCAATCGGGCAGCCACGATCCGCAACGACGCAGACGACAACAACGACGACGTCGGCACCTCCCATCCGAACTGGAGGCCATCGGCCACACCAGGGCCCCAAGGTTCCCGGGCCACGCCGACCGGCTCGATCGATCCCAGGCACTCGGCAGGCTGGAAGCCCAGGGATGGCCCGAAGGCCCGAGGGGAAGTGAGGGCCCCAGGGGGGTCCAGGGGGCCCAGGGGTACCAGAGCAGAGGCGTCAACTACCTCTCCCCGCCCCTCCCCCTCCCCCTCCCCACCGCTTCCCCCTTCCCCTCCCGTCCGTAGCCAATTTGGCGCACAACCTCATCCAACTGGGGGCTCAGCGCCTCCGGGTTAGCTTGGACAACGGTGATCTGGGGTAACTTTCGCAAACTTTCAGGTACGGGCTTGCCTACCGATATGGAACCTCTCCCAAGACGTCTCTGCAGCTGCAGTCACAATTCGTGTCGCCGCAGGGCCGTTCTCGTCCTTGGACGACATGTGACAATCACAAGAGGAGCAGTCTCATCTGCTGTCCAGAGTCAGTGGGGGCGACCGCGAGCCTGCCCGACGGCCCCGTTTCCCTTAATTTTGAACTCGGATTATGGGAAAACGCGTTTCCCGAAATTCGGAATTCGCCTTATGGGAAACACAATTCCACCGGTTGAGTGTACATTTTTTTTTTTTTTTTAAAGAAAAAACGTTCCACATACTCTGGAATTGTGGGAAACACAATTCCAGCCCATTGAATGCGGTTGTTCATTAAGAAACTGCGTTTCCCATATTTCGGAATTCGAATTCTGGGAAATAGCGATTCCCGAAATTCGGAATTCGAGTTATGGGAAACGCAATTCCAGCCCATTGCGCGCGGTGTTTTCCAGGTTCAATTCGTTTCCCATATTTCGGACTTCGATTTCTGGGAAACAGCGTCCCCCGAAATTCGAAATTCGAATTGTGCAAAACGCGATTCCAGCCCTTGGAGTGCGGTTCTTCAAAAAGAAATTGCGTTTCCCAGAATTCGGGAACATGGGAAACGCAACTCCGGCCCATCGAGTGCGGTTTTTCAAATGAAAGACTTGCGTTTCCCACAATTCGAATTTCGAATTCTGGGAAACCACGTTTCCCGAAATTCGGAACTCGAATTATGGGAAACGCAATTCCAACCCATCGAGTGCGGTGTGTCAGGGAAACTGCGGCTCCCCTAATTTGGAATTCTTGGAAACGCAATTCCAGCCCATTGAATGCGGTTTTTTTAAAAAACAAATTGCGTTTCCCACAATTCGGAATTCTGGGAAACGCAATTCCAGCCTATTGAGTGCGATTGTTCAAAAGAAATTGCGTTTCCATAATTCGGACTTCGAATTCTGGAAACCGGCGTTCCTGGAAATTCGGAATTCGAGTCATGGGAAACGCAAATCCACCCCATTGAGTATGGCGTTTCAAAGAAAATTGCGTTCCCCATAGTTTCGAATTCGAGTTCTGGGAAATTGCGTTTCCCGAAATTCGGAGTTCGGGTTATGGGAAACGCACTTCCAGCCCTTGGAGTGCGGTGTTTCCAAGGAGAACTGCGTTACCCATAATTCGGAATTATGGGAAGCGCAATTCCAGTCCATTGAATGCGGTTTTTCAGCGGAAATTGCGTTCCTATAATTCGAAATGATGGGAAACGCAATTCCGGTCCATTGAGTGCGGTTGTTCATTATGAAAATGCGTTTCCCAAACATCGGAATTCGATGTCTGGGAAATCGCGTCTCCCGATATTCGGAATTCGAAGTATGGGAAACACAATTCAACCCCATTGACTGCGGTTTGTCAACAGAAATTGTTTTCCCATAGCTCGGAATTCGAATTCTGGGAAGTCGCCTTCCCCGAAATTCGAAATTCGAATTATGGGAAACGCAATTCCAGCCCATCGAGTGCGGTTGTTCAACGGAACTTGCGTTTCCCATAATTCGGAATTATGGAAAGCGCAATTTCAACCCATTGGGTGCGTTTCTTCAAAAGAGATTGCGTTTCCCATATTTCGGACTTCGATTTCTGGGAAAACGCGTCTCCCGATGTCCGAAATTCGAAATCTGGGAAACGCAATTCCAGCCCATCGAGTGCAGTTTTTTTTCAAAGGGATTTGAATTTCCCATCATGCGAGATTCGAAGTATGGGGAGCGCGTTTCCCGCGCAATGTGTCATTGGGGCAGTCGTCCGGGGCTGCGTTTCCAATACTTCGCCCTTCTCGAATCATTGAAATATGGAAAACGCAAACCCGGACGGCAATCCCTCTGAGGGTCGGGAAAAGTATGCACCGTACCATTCCTAGGTCGAAGAATGACAACGCCTCTGGAGACGCCAACGCGGTACGGTGCGTGCAAGTCGTCCGTGGAGAGGAGATGCAAACAGAGGTGTGCCCCAACTCGGCGAAGCGCAGCTCGGGCGAAACAGAAACGGGCGAAACGCAAACTCGGGAGAGAAAGCGAAACTGGGCGAAGCACAAATTGGGCAAAACGACGCGAGGCGAAGAAAACATCGGGCGAAGTGAAACCCTGACGAAGCGCAGCTCGGACAAGGCGAACCTCGGCGAAGCGAAACTCCAGCGAAGCGAAAACCAGTCGAAACGCAGCCCGGGCAAAGCGGGACTGGGCGAGGACAGGTTCGGGCCAAGTAAGGGTCGAAACTAAAGTGCATCCCTCCTCCTCCTCCTCCTCCTCCGCCTCCGTCCAACCCTCTTCCCAAACTTCTCTCCATGCCTTGCTGGCCCATGCCTCCCCCGCACAAGGCAAGATCTGATGATGAGAAGGGGGAAGCGAGACAGGAAGAATCATCTCCCTCATCTGTTCCCCGCTCTCCCCCACTCTTCCCTCCCGACCCCCGACCCACCCCCCTCTCCCGCTGCTCCTTCGCCCAGCTGCTATCCGTCCTCTCCCGCTGCCCCACCCGTCGCACCACTCCGGCTGGCCCGCTGGGGCCACGGCCCATGCCCTTGCCCATCCCGGGCATGCCCGGGGGGGGCATGCCCGGCATACCTCGGCGTGGGGAGAGCAGGGCGGGTGACGCGGGGCGGGGGGAGATTGCTGCCTCGGGAGCGGGGGTCCAGGGAGGCGCGCGACGTCGACACCGACCTCAAGGACAGCCGCGGGAGCACTGCGGCCACAGATCACGACCCTGGCTGAAGGCAGTGCCCCGAACATGTCGGGCGCGCCAGAAGGGGGGGCCACGAAACGGGGGAATCACACATCATGGCCCGACACACGTGCGCGGACGAAGGGAGGGCAGTGGACATGCTGAAAGAAGAAGGCGAACACGAATATGAACGTTGTTATTCATACGAATAGAAAAACTAACAAACAATACTGAGAAGCCTGTTAGCCGTACTAAAACTAACGATAGTATTAATAACGCAGTAATGCAATAGTAGTAAATCTACTATGACTGATATGCTATTAGTAGGCAAGCAGCAATAACAACTGTACTACTTGTAAGAGGGCAATTCATACGACTGAGAATGAGACTAGGAAGAATGGCAAGAAGAAGAAGAGCGTGTTACGATACATGGGTGAGGTTATGCTTCCCGCCATGATATCTCCCCACTAATCCTCCCCTTCCCCCTTCCCTCCTTCCAGTGGGCCCGACCACAAACACACTCACCCAGATTTCGATTATTACCTAACAGCGTTTGCTGATAGGTTTCTAGTAGGGTCAAAAGAAAGCATCATGACTCCTCAGGGGGGTCTGGGCGGGTGCCGGGGAGGAGAACCGGGAATCGTTTTTCGCCAACAGTCACACACTTCGTGCTCTTCGACCTCCCAGAACTCCATTCCCGGGCCACATTCTGGAGAACCGGGAACAGAGCCGGGCTCGCTTTTCGCCAACAGTCACACACTTCGTGCTCTTCGACCTCCCAGAACTCCATTCCCGGGCTACATTTTGAGTGCCCGGAGCCAACTGTAGGCCACTTCGTGCTCTTCGAGTTCCCAGAACTCCATTCCCGGGCCACATTTTGGATGCCCGGAGCCAACTGTAGGCCACTTCGTGCTCTTCGATTTCCCAGAACTCCATTCCCGGGCCACATTTTGGATGCCCGGAGCCAACTGTAGGCCACTTCGTGCTCTTCAAGTTCCCAGAACTCCATTCCTGGGCATGATTTTGAATGCCCGGAGCCAACTGTAGGCCACTTCGTGTTCTTCTAGTTCCCAGAACTCCATTCCTGGGCCACATTTTGAATGCTGAGGCAGGCTGATGCTGCGGCCGAGGCAGGCTGAGGCTGAGGCAGGCTGAGGCTGAGGCCGAGGCTGAAGGCAGACTGAGGCTGAGGCTGAAGCAGACTGAGGCTGAGGCTGAGGCAGGCTGAGGCTGAGGCTGAGGCAGGCTGATGCTGAGGCAGGCTGAGGCTGAGGCTGAGGCTGATGCAGGCTGAGGCTGAGGCAGGCTGAGGCTGAGGCCGAGGCTGAAGGCAGACTGAGGCTGAGGCTGAAGCAGGCTGAGGCTGAGGCTGAGGCAGGCTGAGGCTGAGGCAGGCTGAGGCTGAGGCTGAGGCAGGCTGAGGCTGAGGCTGTGACTGCGACTGCCGTTGCCGCTGCGACTGTCATCGCGAATGCGACTACGACTGTGAGAACAGCAGAATTCTACAACTGGATTTTCATCTGAATCTTAAGGGGAATGCTTTCAGATATGCTTCTACATATCGCTGTTAGGTTGCTTTGCCGGGATAATTATGTTTTTTTTGTTTTCTCTCTCTCTCTCTCTCTCTTCCCCCCCAGAAGAGCAACAAACTGCACGAACGTGAACTTTCGGAGTCCGCCCGGGTTTCTTGGATCGGCGCTGGACCCCCCCTTCCTGGCGCGCGGAGCCCGCCACAGGCAGCGCCAGTGAGCCGTCGTCCGCCTCGAGTGCCATCTCGAAGGCAGGCAGAAAGAGACGCAAGAGCGAGAGAGTGAAGGCGTGCCCACGCCCCCTCCATCCCATGGCCCGTTGCCCCAGTCCGGAGCCACAATTCCACTGGGAATGCTGGCTCCGGACGGTGCATAGACGCACCGTCTCTTAGCTATCCTAGCAGGGCCCCCCCCCGCCCCGTCCTCCCCACCCCACCCATCTCCCTGAGCCACTCAACTGTCACCACCTTTCTCTCCCGCACCGCCCTTACCCTCCTCAGCTTCCCTCTCCACCCTACCCTCGCCATCCCTCCCTCCCCCACGCGTCCCACCACCGTCCCTCTCGCCTCCAGTCTCTCTCTGTCTCTCTCTCTCTCTCTTGATTTCGGGTGCGCCACGGCGCTCTCTGCCCAAACGAATGACTAAAGGGTCGTCGTGCTGACCCCAACGAATGCAAACCGCATGTGATATGTCATGTCTGCTCGTGCGACTGAGTGAAAATGTAGGGCATGCGGCAACGGACAACTCTAGTGTCCGCTCTTCTGCGTGAGACGCCTACCCTCCTGGCTCCTCCCTCCCTTCCCTCTGCGCCTCCGTGTTCTGCCCTGGAAGGGGGGAGAGGGGGGAGAGGGGGAGGAGGGGGAAGGAGGGACGCGGGAGGAAGGACGATGACGGATAGAGAAAGAGGAGGAAGAGGTAATAAGGGAGGGATGGAGAGAGGAGGGAAGGAGGAGTGAGGTGGGAGGAGGAAGGAGGAAAGATGACTAAGGAGGGAGGGAGGAAAGGGGGGAGGGAGGAGGAGGAGGAGGAGGAGGAAAGAAGGGAGGAGGGAGAGGGGGAGAACATATGGAGGGGAGGGGAGAAGAAAGAGGAAGGTGAGAGGGGGGAGCCCATCCCCCCGGATGGGGCGGCACCTGGCGGCATGCCGGGCGGGGGCATCATCGGCGGCATCCCCGGGGGGCGCACGGGGAAGCCGGGTGGCAACGCGGCTCCTGTCGCGGCCGCCACGCCCCCAGTAGAGGAGGAGGAGGAGGAGGAGGAGGAGGAGGAGGAGGAGGAGGAGGAGGAGGAGGAGGAGGAGGAGGAGGAGGAGGAGGAGAAGGAAGAGGAGGAAGAGCAGGAGAATGAGGAGGAGCAGGAGGAGGAGGAGGAGGAGGAGGAGGAGGAGGAGGAGGAGGAAATGGAGGAAGAGGAGGAGGAGGAGGAAGATGATGAGAAGGAGGAGGAGGAGGAGACGACGTACCCGTGAAGGTCCTTCCGACCGCCGGCCTCGACCTCAGCAAACGCCTGAACATCGACAGAGGGAGAGTGGGTTCCTGCTGGGTGGCGCCTGGGTTCTTTTTCGGCCTCCCGAGGGGCGGCGAAACCCTTTGCCACTTCCGCCACCAGCAGAGCCCAAAATATGCCGCTCGAATCAGACCATTTGTGAAACAGATCGTCGCCAGTGAGAGGCATAAAAAGAATATAAGCAATCCAAATAGAAGCAATCCAGCCCCCAGGCCGCGACCCCCCACCACCACGGGAGAGAGCCAAGAGGCACAGAGGGACTGCGAGCCGAGTCGCAGACTTCGACATCGGAGAGAGCGTGATCCATCGCCGCTTTACTGTGGAAAATTCCCCCCCTCTTCCTCTGGAACCCGGGGGTCTCCCCCCCCTCCAAAAATCCCCCCCCCCCCCCCCCCCTGCTGGACCCCCCTCCCTCTCCCCCCCAAAACCCCCCGCCTCCCCTAACGCCCCTCCCCCCCCTCCGGCAAACCGGGGAGGGGGGTCACTACCAGTTCGAGCCCCCCCCCCCCTGTGGAAAACGGGGGGTTCACTACCGGTTCGAGCACCCCCCTCCTTCAGAAAACCGAGGGGGGGTCACTACCGGTTCGAGCCCCTCCCCCCCCTCGAGAAAACCGGGGGGGGGGGGGGTCACTACCGGTTCGACCCCCCCCCTCCTCCCTCCAGAAAACCGTGGGGGGTCACTACTGGTTCGAACCCCTGCCCCCCTCTTCTTCCCCCCCACGCTCACCGCCAGCAAACGACTCCGGGGTCCCTACCACCGTCCACACCACATTCCCCACTGCTGTCCTCAGCACCACTGTCCTCACCACCAGTCCCCACTGTTCCCACCACCGTCCCCATTGTCCCCACCAGTGCCCCCACCACTGTCGCACTGTCCCTACTGTCCCCGCCACTGTTCCCACCACGGCCCCACTCTCCCCAATTTCCCCACGGCCTCAACCACTGTCCCACTGTCTCCACTGTCCCACTGTCCCCGCCGCTGTCCTACTGAGCTGTCCCACTGTTCCCGCCACTGTCCCCACTGTCCCCACTGTACCTCTGTCCCATTGTCCCACCGCCGTCCTCGCCACCCCCATCACCACGGTCCCCACCACTGTCCCACTGTCCCCGCTACTGTCCCACTGTCCCCGCCGCTATCCCACTGTGCTGTCCCACCGTCCCCACTGTCTCCACCACTGTCCCTTTGTCCCCACTGTCCCCACCACTTTCCCCACTGTACTACTGTCCCACCCCTTTCCCCACCACCGCCTTCACCACTGCTCCCGCCAGTACCGTCTCCACCACTGTCCCACTGCCACACCAGTGTCCCGCTGTCCTCTCGCCACTGTCCCCACCACCACCACCGTCCCCACCACTGTCCGCACCACTCTGTCCCACCGTCCCCGCGCCACTGTCCCCACCACCACCGTTCCCACCACTGTCCCAGCATCCCCACCAATGTCCAACTGTCCCGAGGGGCGGGAATCGTTTGCCGGCGGCGGTTTTCGAGGGCGGGGGTGGTTCGAACCGGTAGCGACCCCCCCCTTTGCATGACAGACCGGGGGGGGGGTGTTCGAACCGGCAGTGCCCCCCCCCCCTGGTTTTCGAGGGGGGGGGACGGGTTGGGAACCCCCAGTGACCCGTCCCCGTTTGTCCGCCAGCGGTGGAACACGCTCTTTCCGACATCGCATTCCACGTCCAGCTCTGCGGGAGTCCTCGACCGCATTAAGCAGACGCATCAGGTGCCACGACCAAGCCTCTCCCTTCCAGCAAGTCCCACTCCAACCCCACCCAAATCGAAAAACAGTCAGTAAAAAGGGAGTGCTAGCTGTCGCTCCATGGCGAGCTTTGCGCCTCTGATGTCAAACGCACGCGTCAGGGACATCGGCGTGTTCTGTGCGAGATCCTTGGCTTTGTGGTACATATGGAGGCGGGCGCCACGGCGCGGAGACATTCTGTGCGCGTGAGGTCGGCACCCTCGCATTCGCAGTCTGTATCCCATCCCCGGCCTAGCAGCGTGAGTGGGGCGCGTGGAACATGGCGCCTCCTCCAAGCCTGATGCATGGCGAGGTGATGGAACATTCGAGGGCGTCTTAAGTAGTGTGAAATTTCAGCGGCCTGATGGCAGCCCCATATGCATGTAGTTGGCGGGTTGTTCATCTGCAGCTTGGGCGTGGTCGTCCACCCGCCGCAGAGAGTCTCGAATCTGCTCCAATGCCAGGCGGGCTTGAGCTAAGCGATGCAGGTCTTTCAGATTTCCCACCATCGCGCAACCGACCTCCGCCCCCCAGGAGGAATGATCTGCCGCGCTAGCAGACGCTTGCCGAGAGTAATATGGAAGGTGTCAGGATATGCATGCACACGAAGGGAGCGGGCAACATGCGTTGTGGGTGCGGCCGGCGCGACTGGCCCAGGGCGAGGATTGCGTGCTCGCGCCCAGCCCGAAACGCCTGTCGCCATCCTTCGGTGTCATGGAAACGGGATGGAGGAAGCCTCGTGCGCTCCAGGAGTTGTGCTATCGAGAAGGGCGCTTCCAGCAGGGGGCATAACTTGCCTGCAGTGAAGCGAATGATCGTGGCATTGTCTCGCGCGTATTCTTTCAGACTGTGCAGTGCGCGTTGCCAGACATGGTTCATCGCGCGAAGAGAGGCGAGCCAGCAGGTGGCCCATTCTAGCAGAGCAACAGATGATGGTGATCTAGCAAGCAGAGACGGGAGGGCATTCAGATCGGCTGGACTGAGACTGTTCGGCGGGAGCCTGAGCAGCTTGTGAAGCGCCAGATGCTCAAGCTTGCAAGCCATGGCAGGGCTGGGGAAAAGCTGGGCAAGATACGACATAATAGAGAGAGCGGTGGCGTCGTGCAGAATAGCAAAGACACTCGGCGCAGCCCCTGCGAATCGGAATGCAATCGGCCTCGACCACCACTTCTCCGCAGCAGTTGCCCAAACATTCCCTGGCGTGGAAGCGGTCCCATCTCGACACCTAGGTGCGTGGTGTGGCCCGCAAAATTAAAGTTGCTCCAGTGCGGGATCCAACTCCGGAGTTCGTTTCGGATCTTGGCCTGGACTTCGGCCGTCCATTCGGTCCGCAGCGGGGCCAGAACGCATTTCGCCGCCTGGAGTTTGAGAACAGAAAAACGTGTCATGTCCAGAAGCACATGTGAGACTCCTACCAGGTCACGAAGGCGTGGCATTACCATTCCGACGTCGTCCGCGCACCCGTCAAGAGCGCCCTTGCGATGCCTCGCCTTCGGGGGCCCCTTGGCTGCACGCAGGCGTGTAAGGACAGGGTCCATGGCGAGGGCCCAAAGGGACTCAGATAAGGGGCATCCTTGGAGCACTCCCGAGCAAAGATGGGAAAGGAAGACAGAACGGTTTTGGATCCTGGCAAAACCTCTGGGAAGGAAGTACAACGCTTGAATAAAATGCCGTACCACTGATGGAAGTCCCACCCTACTCAAGATCGCGAACAGCCACTGATGGCCCAGGGACGGGAACGCCGCCGCGACACCGTCGGCGGCAAAGATGGGGAGGTCCAACTCGGCTTCAGGAGTGATGCTGGCCTTGCGTGCCTCCGAGTCCAGGGTGGTGATGTTGGACAGGAAGCTGCGTCCTGGGATAAAGCCTTGGTAGGCCTCATGAGTGCGCTCTTGAGAAACCTGACGGATTTGAATGTTAGTGGCTGATGCCGTATGCTTAGTGTCGGCGTTCCCTGGGTATCTTCCAGTTCTGATCCTTTGGAGAGGAAGGCGAAGAGGCTATAATGTAGTTCCAAGGGCACTGGGCGCCCACCGTAGAGGTGAGCCATGAGACGATGCAAGACTGGCTGGCTGTTCGGGTCGAGCTTTCCATGGCGACTGCGAAAGTTGATCGGGGCCAGGGGCAGAGCGTCTAGCATGAAGAAGAGCTCGACGAAGCTCTGCTTCAGAGTGTAGTCTAAAATGTAGAGAGGCTTTCTGTGGAGTGCCTTTGTCGAGATACTCCTGCAGTGCCTGATCATTAACTGTTTTGGCTCCGAATATGGGTTTCCAGTGAGAGATGAGGGCAGCGGCAATCTCATCGGGGTCTCTAGCTGTAGCCGGCGAATCCCGGATGCTTTCAGCGCGGACCCCCGCGAGGACAAGACGACAAGTCTTGGGGGGGCACAGTGCGCAGGTTGGGGCGCCTCTTGCGCATGCGGGCAGCTCGTCTCTCGTCCTCCGCCGCAGCCCCCTCCCCTTTGGATGCCCTGCTTTCGGCAGGCCTGGCCTCCACCTGCCCGCGCTCGTAGTTGGCGACGCGCATGACGAGGGCGAACTCGCCCCTCTCGCAGAGCTGCGCGACGCCGTTGACGATGTCAGCGAAGCGCGCGCCGTCGACGGCGGCGGCGTTCAACGTCTGCGCCTCGGGGATGTCGCTGCGCCAGATGCATCGAGAGATCGCCCGACGCGCGATGAGCCTGCCCCCATGGGAGCGAGCGCCCTTCGCGGTGATCGCTAGTCGTTGAAGTCCATCGCGCACGTGCCATGCCGCCTCTGACATGAACTCCTTCATGCGTCGCCAGTGCTAGACCGCAAGAAATCGATCAAGCGGGGCTGCCTCTACTGATTGTCCAAGAACCTTTCCCCTTTCCATAGCGAGGGTCTCGAAGGACCTGCTGAGGAAAACTTGCATTTTCATCGCGTCCAACTCGGTCTCGCAGGGGCAATGTGATCGGCGCGTGGTCGCTGAGTCTGGAACCAGAG